CAATCGTTCGATGGACTGAATTGCACAAAACGCATGATCGCACCGGCTAGTCTGGTGCGCGTCGCTGTTTATTCTTTCAAGTTTGCTGTGTGATACCAATGTGCTGATAATTTGGCCTGCAGGTCATATTGAAATAACAGTCTGAAATATCGTCCGTTGCTCGAAGTTTGACAGTTTTGCTGAAGGAATTTTAAAGAAGAACGACTGGAACAACTCAAGCGAAAATATTACTTAGAACATACACAGATTGTCCACTGCAGCACTTATTTCCATTCCGTAAACGGATTCTTTGACATCAACAGAATTCAGGTGGAATTTTGCGTCTCGGTGACTAGATGTTGCTTCTTTCGGCATACTTTCTTCATTTCCCCTCTAGCACCAGTAATTATGCGTTTTATGCTGTGTAGCAGCAGTACAAAACGCATATTGTCACGGGTTGTCTGTGTGTGTGTGTGTCCGTAGCAACTTGTCCGCAACTTTCAACTCGGGAACCAAAAAAGCTAGGAAGCTGGAAATTTAGGGAACGTTCCCCACCCACGTGTGGCCCCGCAAATTTAAATTCAGCTTCCCCGTACCCGCGAGTAACACGTATGGCTCCGTATGGCTCCGTGAAAGTTCTTTACGAGTAAATTAATATCTTGGGAACCACGGTGTCTAGGAGGCAGAAATTTTAGGGTAATGACCCCCTGCCCACGCTCAACCTTGCCTGTTCAAATTCAGCGTTCTCGCGATCTTGAGTATCACCTACGGCCTCATGAAAATTTTGGCGGTTAGGCTATTAACCCGGGAATCACTGAAAGATATTCATCCTTCAAGGTTTTGAATTCAGTTTCATGCGCTGGTGCGTGAAATTTTTAGCTGTTTTCCAATTGTTGAACTATTTTTGCATAAACAAAAGTACAAAGTATTGAAAAACATTAATAGGCAATCGTTCGACGGGCTGAATTGCACAAAGCACATGATCGCACCGGCTAGTCCGGTGCGCGTTGCTATTTATTTTGATTTTCATTTAGCGCGGAACAAGAGTGATGCTGTCTTTTCTTCCTCTCTGCAATCAGTTAGTGTATGTGTTACTGAGCAGGTATCTCTGGGTTTCGGTTCACATTGCCGGAGGATGAACGGATGTTTGAAAATTGGGCATGTGTATGGCAAAATACGACGATCATTTCAGTCAGTGAGCCACTGTCGACGCTGATGGCAAAATTCAGGAACCCTTTTGGTGATCCGTTCGCTACGACGGATGTTGTCGAGGAGAGCTGGGAAGCTGCAAGCGAACCCACTTATGTGCCTTCTGCTTTTTGCCAGCTCATTGATGATATGATTGGAAAAAGAACGAGGCCCTGGGATGTGGAACGGAAGCCGATACGACCTTTCCAGGTAGAGTTTATGAAGTTTCTTTTGAAATATATAGCCCAAACAGTTTTTCAGCTTCATCCATTTTGCCTCTTCGATATAAGCAATGAGATTTGAAGAAATTCTTCCCAGTCCGCTTATTCCTAATTTTTAAAAACCGCTCACGGGTTATATTAATAAACAATTAACAAGACTCCCTGCGGTAAAAAGGATTTGTGAAGGAGCTGAAACCTGAAAAAATCTGCAGCACGATGTAGCACATTTTTGCTCAAAGCCAACCGCTGGAACATGTGAGGGAAAATAAATTCCCCTCCATTTCGTGTTGGTCAGTTATGAAAGAGCATTTGATAGCGTAGAGCTGAATGCTGTGCTGCGTGTT